ATTATTTACTCAAATTCTAAAATATATCACTCATATGTTGTATTGCTTGACATAGATAACTTTAACATTTACTTGATTTATTGCTTTTCGTACAGTATAACATTGTAATTATATTGTAATTATATATGCTAACTTGCGCTCCATCAATAAACGGAATCAAAACTCTGTGCTCACGGTTTCCTTCTCTTTTCAAGGTTTCCCCAAGTAAACAATTCCCGGTACCAAGTGAGGTCTCTACTGACCATTATAGAAACCTATATAACGATTATGATTGTATGAGTAGGCGCCTCTACTGAAGTCCATAATGGGCGAGTCTGCAAATCAGAATGGGAAGGTTAACATTGGAGTTTGGATTTAGTCAAGCTACATTCTGTTACTGCATAACATTATCTGATCTGAATAGAAATGAACAGATGACACACTTTATATAGGCTATATTGTCTTCAGGAAATTAAGTAACTGCCGTTTTATAGATATACCTGTAATTTCGATGTAATTCAAAACGCATTTTGTTACGTATTTAGATATAAAGGACATGATGCATTTGGAAAATTAATTCAGCTGGGTTCGAAAACCAGTTTCTTGCTTTCATTGACAAGCTCTATGAACTTGGAGCAAACTTGTTTTCCTAAGCTACTGACTCTGGAGACACGTAGATGTATGTTAATATATTTAGAAAGTCACGTCAAAACTGTATTGATACGATCAGGAATATTGAATGATTCCATCATAAGTATCTGTTTTGATTTATTTGATTGTTTTGTTAAGACCATGTATTATTGTTGCGAATGTAATTAGCGAATAGTAATTAGAAATGAACCGAAACATACACATCGTCAATCATTAAGCGAGTAAGAGTAAATCTTCCATTACGTCGACCCAGGTCACTTCATATACAAACCTGTTAATTTAATTATGGGACTAACTAACCTATAATCCTCCATGGACTTGTAAACTTCCGAATATATTTATTCCACTTAAAGTGATGTAACTGAAGATGCAACAGTACACGTTTTGAGGGAAAGCACATTTGGTCTAAAATATGTTACGGAAAACGTTCATTTTTTCAAATAGTGCTTCACACTAAATGGGTTCATTGGAAACATAATGCACTTTGTTTACGTCCATAACGTCACTTCCTCCTCCAATCTCTCACCATTTATGTCATACTTCTACTTCGTATGACGTCAACTTTCAATCGCGTCATCACGTGCGCCATCGTCCATTATGTTCTGCTAGCAATTTCTTCAACAGGCTTATACTGTAATTCTCTACTTTCGGCTTTCATTTTCTATCCTTCACCTTTCGACAGGAACGTTTCGGCTTCTCTTCACAAATCGTTACTGTTCGTCTTCTGAAACCGAACGACGCTGAGGATGATGAAGGTTCCCCTAGACTGACAACTGACAGCACAGGTAAGGTAGCGTTGACGCAAGTACAGCCGCACAGCTTGCCAGGCAAGTCACTTGGCAACGGGGAACATTCTTCGTACTGTGTTTCGGTTAGAAGTTATAATGTTTCTGCACTTGTACGTAACTATTGTACGACAGAGACACTCAGTACTTCAACGTGTGACATTTGAAACAATGTCAACATATCTATAGCATCAGGAACTCCCATGCATCGGACATACAAAAGATTACAAGGGCCTCTGGTATGACCTATCAATAAGTTAATTATTCAAATTTCTCAAAGGAGTGTATTTTACTGTGGTAAGATCTGATCACACCAAATAGAAATAGTAGTATATGATTTATTTGCAGGCTATAATTCCCCCAAACGGTCTTCTGTTTCGCTGCTTGGCTTGAACTGAGTCAGCTCGATCGACCGTTCGTTCGTTCGTGTAATTCAGGAAAAAACGTAAAAGCGCGATCTATAATATACATTTACAGGAACAGAAAGGATTCTTTGAAATACCAGCTGCCATGACTTGTAGAGGCTTATAATAAAGACGAAATCGTTATGTTTACGTTCCCCACACATAAGCTGCAGTAAAGCTGTCCGCCAATTTTGTTTGCCTTTGATTCGGTTTACGGACTGTATTACATAACATCCTTTTCCAAATAATTCTCTTTTGATATTGTAATTAACACCTCTTAGTACAAGCGCCACACCTCTACTGTTTACTGCAGATAGAGTTACTGTGTCCACAAACACAAGTCACATGTACTTTAAAACCCTCACCCTCTCACCCTCTCACCCTCTCACCCTCTCACCCTCTCACGCCCTAGCCAACATTCCTCGGGTCTCCCTGATGCTACAGGGTATGGCACACATTTCGACTTTTTAAGTAATTGTGATAATATACATTGGACATCCTGATTGAATTTTAAGTCTCAGTCTCCATTTCATGATCTTTGCCGCGTGAATCGTGAACGTACAAACTTGGGCCGACCTTTGATGGTTAGTATTGCAAGCTCCTTTCAGCATATCTCTACTGGTACTAGTGTAAACAGAAAGTAGTTTGCGTTGCATTCGAAAGGACGATTAACTTCGTTATGTTAAGGATTGTTTTTTCATGTCTGTCTTCATTTGTCAAAGGATAACAGTCAGAAATTGTATAAAGTCGAGTAGCCAAGCGGAGCAATTTTGTGCTTAATCTGTGAATGTTATCTTCAATGCACAAAACATGAAACCTATAATCGTGGGTTTGAATTGCGTTTCGCCCAGATTATGTTACACAGCACCATACCCGTGTTTATTGGTTACATCACTAACAGCACTTCAGGCTTTCCTCTCACAGTAAGCTGATCTTGACACTCAGTGGTATAACAGAAATACTTTACAAAGCGGCGTTAAATCCAACTCACTCACTCACTCGTGTCACCATACCAGTAAGGGATATCACAATGGGAGAGGCAATATCACAACAACACATATAACCTCGATATACTGAACCGCTAAAGAAACATCACCATATCAAAAAGATGAAGCTTGGCAAAACTGATCATCAAGGCTGAAATTAAAGTGTCAAATGTTCTTTAAGCGAAACGCAACACCAGTCTCTGAGAAAATAGCATCACAAGTCAGTATCTCGTGTGTCCGCCACGTGCATTGATGACTGCCGAGCAACGTCGATACATGGAATGGATGAGGCGGTTGATGAAGGTCATAGGCACTTGAGCCCACACTCCGAGGAACGCCTGCCGCAGTTCAGCTGCAGTTGTCGGCCTTGGTCTGACGTCATTCAGCCGTTTTTGAATCTCGTCCCACAGGTGCTCAATGGGATTTAAATCGGGACTGAGGGCAGGCCACTTCATGGCTCTGATACCATTCTGCTGGATGAAGTCGTGCTGCTGTGATACCATTGCCTCTCCCTGGACCGATGTTTTCGAAGACCACAGGGCCGACCCTCTGTGCAAGACCAATCCCACCCCACACCATCATGATCGGACCACCCAATCTCCTGTTGAGATACAGTCATGGCTCTCGTTTGAGAAGAAGACTCTTCTCCACTGCTGGTGGCGCCAATGCTGGTGCTGTGTTGCCCACTGAAGACGGCCCCGGCGATGACGTGGGGAATGGGTTCTCGGTGTGTCCTGTGACAGTGGAGGTGTCTTCTCGTCAATCGTCCAGGCACGGTGTCCTCACGGTGTCGATTGTGTGTCCCCATGGTCTGTCGAGCACTTTCCGCATCAGTAACAAAGCGATCTTGAAGATGCTGTCACACAAACTGACGATCCTGACGTCGGGTGGTAACACTTGGTCTTCCACTACGGGGTTGTACATCTGTAGTGTTGGTGGTCTGGTACCTTTGCGGGAGCCTGTATATGGTCCTTACATGGACCTGAAACGCATTGGCTACTCGCCCGGCGGTTTGTCCAGCTTGCAATCGTCCTAGGGCTTGGTGTCGCTGTTTTCTTGTCAATCGTGGCATGTGGTAACAATTCAATAACGAATAAATGGTATCCAATCTTAGTGGAGCAAGAAATGGGGGAACGCATGTGAATTTCAATTTGTACGGAACTCACGTACATCGGGTTACCGTGGCCGTTGCCGTGATGCGTTCGAGCGATCGGTTTTATTGCCATCTGCTTTGTTTTTTATCATCAAATTTCATTTGTCCGGACAAGGTTATGTTAAATTTTAGAAACTTTGACAAAAATTACCCAAATATCTAAATGACAACTTTTCATGCAATGTTACTTGGGGCTACGTTTCTTTTGCGGTTCAGTAAAAAATATCTTTTGTTATTGTTCGATACAGGCTAACATGAGACAACCATGCACACCTTGCATGGCCCATTGACGCATTGCATTCACACGAACAAAGTTTATCAGGACCATATATACATATATAGAGAGAATAACGTTAACTTGACGAAATACGTCAATGTGACGTGTAGTAAATGTCATGCATAGTAGCATCGTCTAAAACAATTTATTGAAACGAACTTTGATGCAGAATATGTTCCAAACAATCAGTAAACGCCCAATTTTGTAATGGCATCACATATTTATAATGATGTCGTCTTTCCTCTCAATCTGATGACATTTGTTTTTGAGTTGTTGTGTCACAACGGAGGAATGTGTGTTAATGTTTGTTGTGCAGCCGATGTTTTCGCATCAATGGTTCCTTGCTAAGTGGAATATTAAATCAACTATGTTCACTTTATCTCGTTTCTCAAACTTTACACCCCTGCCAACCCTCTGTTGTTATGTATTGACAAGTGAATTTGCATCAGTAAAATTTGCAAAGGTTTTCCTCTTATTTGTGTTCATTTTCACCTATAAATAGATTCGAGGTGTTACCTTTGTGTTATATTCTATGCCTATGTAAATAGACCGTATGCACTTGTCGAAATGAGTGTATACGGTTTTGTTTACCATGTATAAGAAATATGGTGAAATGATAGTAATAATTGTAAAGGTCCCTTCGTTCTATATTGACAATGGAAGCTCCAAATATCGTTTAAAATGAATGTGCGCAGTTCAATTGACGTCAATTGAAAATCAAACAGCTCCCCTTTCAGCCTTGTCCACAAATCATTTAAGTGTTAAAACTTCCTGGTACACAAACATGGCGGGAGTGAGGTGGCTGATACTTACTGCGGCTGTGTCAGGGTGGTGGATTCAACTCATACTGGGTAGGTTATAGTCACACTACGATATTTGTACCTGTGGGTAATTAACATGACACTAATTTAATCCTAGGAAAATACGTATATGACAGACATATAAATAACACTGATAGCGATTTGTCTAGTTATGACAGACATGTATAAAAGGTAAGTACAGGTTTGCCTCAGCTGATACATGTACGTATACAAGGTTCAGCCGCAGACAAACGTGTCACTAAATTCAAATGCCCAGTGGGACAAGTTATAATGCTCAAATATTTAATACTCACACTACATTTTTCCTCATGGATAATAAACATGCCCAAAATTTAATTATCTTTGACAAATATGCACAGTAAGGTTTTACAAACTTGTATGAAAGGTAAGCAGGGTTGGCCTTACTGACACATGTACGTGTATTTCCGGTGAACACCTCGACAAACGTGTCATCACATTGCCATGTAGTGTAAGACGAATTGATGTTTGTATCTACAAATGATGCTACAAAAAGACATATACTTCTTGAAGACTCATTGACCTGCATGTAAACTATTTGACTTTTTTTGGTTAATGGATAAACATTTTGATATCAAATGGTGTGTGTGTGTCGCCGTATATACATAAAGAAGTCAAATATGGGTAATGTTTGTCAGGTAAAATATTGTCATCAAATTAACTCAACGTGGACAATGAGAGGGACAGACAACCAAAGAAATAGTTATCGATATCCCCCACCCATATGGACGTTATGGTTGTTTGTAAATTAACTAGGACAGCCTACTCGTTAAGGCGTTCGCTCGTCACGCCGGAGACCCGGATTCGATTTCCGACATGGGTACAATGTGTGAAGCCCATTTCTGGTGTCACCCGCTGTGATATTGCTGGTATATTGATTTATCATAAAATGGGTAGGTTTCTCGGCAGGATAAAGCCAGCCGATAAAAACGATATCCGTTGGGGTCATATGGGGATAGAGATGCAAATATCAAAGGTCAAGTAGGGACTACTTTTTGTGTTTATAAAAAACATGGCGTCGCCCTTGTCATTCGGCAATCGAGTCAGAATTAACTTTCGGGAACCTGGATAAACTACAGGAATAATTGCTGTCATAAGCAAAAGAACAGTCTGATATACTTAAAATCTGTGTCTAACTGTAACGTCGCTAAGGCATTTTATAAGTTTTGGCAACTTTGGAGATATAAATTTCGAAACAATTTTGCGAGGGCACTAGCCCTAACCAAGCAGGATCAAAAGCCACATCTGTGATTGTAGACCTCTGTTGCTTGAAACCTTTTCCACAAATTAAAATAGTTGGATTTGGCCGAAATATATTTGAATTGTTACCTTGTTTCGTTTTGTCGCTGTGTGTACATCTGATTGCACTTCCAACGTTTTGATAGGACAGGCCGACTGTCAACAACGTCTGATCGTGGCCATGACAACTCATAGACAAGGGTCTGAGTAGCTTCCCTTTGACAAAGGCCAGTTACTCTAGTGGACAGACCGAGGCTTGCTAAATACGATCTTTGTTCCTGATACAGGATATTTACCATCCCCAAACACACTCGCGTGATAACCTCTATAAAAGCGGCGTAAAACCATAGTCACTCACTCACTCACTAGGGTACGTTGTCACACAAGCAGCCAAGTCACCAAGTTTGACCACTGGAGTTCCCACAAAGTTGTAGGTTGTAAGTTTTGGCGAATACATTATTCTCTGGAAACGAATCCTACACAAAAGTGAACCTATATCCAACTTGTTTCCTTGGAAACTTTCTTTTCTTTTTGAAAATAATGGAATGGTTAATGCATTGATATAATTGGCTACTATTGCGTTTACTGTTTACATAAATATTTCAAGTCCAGAGATCACTGCCGGTGTTACGGAAGCGTAGTAGGGCCACGGTGTAATTTTTGTCTAAGTATCTCCTACGGAGGACTTATTACCTCCTATGTAGGACTTAGTATTTCCTACGTAGGTCTTACTATCTCCTACATAGGACGTAGGAGATAGTAAGTCCTACGTAGGAGATAGTAACTCTAGGCCATACTAAGTCCTACGTAGGAGATAGTAAGTCCTACGTAGGAGATAGTAATTCTAGCCCATACCGAGTCCTACGTAGGAGATACTAAGTTCTACGTAGAAAATACTAAGTCCTACGTAGGAGATTCTTAGACAAAAAAATTCACCGTGGCCCCACTACGCTTCCGTAAGATGTCAAATATTCGGATAGAACATACTTTGCTGGTCCCAATCTTTACATTATTTGTTGTAATTGGTTGATTATCTCTGTTACAACAGTGAAATGAGTTTGGCACTATGCTGGATACAGAGCCAGTGATTCTACTGGTACTGGTTTGTCTCTAGAATAAAACCTTTAACTCTGGTCAATTTCTATAAAATGTGCACAAAACACAGCTACAATCTGCACCGTTTGGTCAATGTAGTAGCACAGGGGCGGGGTTGTTCAAAATTAACAAGCATTAACGTCAGTGTTAACTCTCCCTTATATTTAACGAAACGATTATGTTGTTTCTGAAAGCGTGGATATCTTTAGCGGTTGTCAGTATGCCCGTTAAACTTAACATACCTCCCAACCTCCGTTAAATACTTTTTAACACCTTAGTCATCTGTTAAACAGACTGTTGGCTGAACACACACTGGGTATGTAACAATAATGCTTCCTGGTTTGTTCGTGTTGCATCGTAAGCTAACATTATTTTTATTGTTACTTCAAAATGCATGCTTGGCTGTCAGAAGCTCAGGTTAAAAACAAACGAAAGCTTTCAATGTTGCAAAAAATAGCACGATTGTTATTTTGAAATTTGTAAAAGCCTTTAAGTGTTATAAATTTGCAAGAAGCATATTATTATTTGCGGATAACTATTTTCTTTGAGGGCTGACTTTAACAGTGTTTACATTCCTTGGATGTTCTTATAAAAATAGAATTTAAATACGAACCTTGTTACAGAGAACTTGGATGTGTCGAATTCCTAGATGTCTCGAACTAATTCGGGACACCAAAGTATCCAAATTAAACCTAAATTCCCCGAATGTCTCGAACCACGGATATTTTTGTCCAGGTCCCCACGAGTACGACGCAATGAGTTTCGAATATATAATCACAAATTTTGTATTATCAAGAAATATATAGCGATAGATTGCGAATCTGATTAACTGGGCCAGGATCTGCCGTTTGTTGAAAGATTGAGACATTAGAACACCCTGTGCTTCTGAAGGCGTTGTCGTAACAACTAGGCAGTGAAACAGTCGGTCTAGGTTATGACAAAAGGACAGCTTTAAGAATTATGACAGAACGTTACCTTTACTGTTTAAGGAAATGTCATCAGTCGGAGGATATCAAAACGTTCGGGTAGAATGTTCTCTCTGTGCCTATCGTTATGTATCGAGTCAGATATTCTTTTACAGTTATTCTAATATTTACGTACGACAGGGGTGCATAATGGTTGTTTTGGGTTCGCTGATACGCTCATCTTCACACCACCTGATGTCATCGCTATTTGATAGTGATTCACAAACATATGCCCATGATAAAGTTTGTATCAAACAACGGACTCTTCATTTGGCAGATTTTTCTCATGATTATGAAATTGGTGTTTTCGCATTTATTATCATATGCACACTTCAATCTGCCCCGTTGTGGAAAATAGTGAGTGAGTATGGTTGTACGCCGCAGTTTTCTATATACCAGCAATATTACGGCGGGGAACGCCAGAAAGGGTCTTTACACATTGTACCCATGTGGAGAGTCGAACCGGGGCCTTCGGCGTGATGAGCTAACTCTTTAACCACTTGGCTACCCCACCGACCCTGTTAAAAATAGCAAAGATCGGGCATCACTCAGCTCGACTCTAACCAGCGTTATACTACCGACAAAAACAATAGCTAATTATTCGAACGTAGCTTTCGTTGTGTTGTACATTACTGAGGCGTTGCATCTGAACGCAAGATCTAAACGCAATGAAATTTGACGTCACGCATGAACAGCACGTGATGCACGTACACACAGAAGCCAAAATGTATCAGTCATGGAGCTGCTTAATCAAGTATAACTTGCAGGACTGATTTACAAACAAAATGCCCTGAATATTTAAAACATACAAATACACGCACGCACACGCACGCACGCGCACACACACGCACGCACAGTGAGGACAACGCGAAGAGGACAACGCGCATTTGTATATTTGTTTTTTAAAACTACCTGTTTCCCTAAGACAAAGTGTAACTTGATTCACAAAGATAACAACATGATATATATTGAGCATTGTCTCTACTGCAACACCTGATGTTTAACATGAACAATCTAAATTCTACCATGACATGGGAGAATGGTTTGAAAGAGGTATCCCTTTTCATATTGAATGGTTGCTGATTACCAACTAGAATATTATATGCATTTGATATCAGAAAAACATCAGTTATCACAACTGATAAACTCTATTTCAGAAAACACACAATTAAGATAAGATACCTCTTACACCACATTTCAGAAGTCACTTCCCCTGTATCGCGAAACTATTTCGCCATACGTTCGTGATAGTGCCGTGAGAGTAAAGTGACTCGAAAATGGCGGGATAATACCGTGAAAGTGGCAAGAAAATGCCGCGAAAGTGGCGCGAAGTTTCGCATAAGTGGCGCAAAGGTGACTTGATAATGACGAGATAGTGACGCGATTGTGCCGTGAAAGTGGCGCGATAGTGGCTCAATGGTGCCGCGAATGTGGCGCGATAGTGCCGCAAAAGTGGGTAATAGTGCCGCGAAAGTGGCGCCATATTGGTACACTACATGTACACTTCAGAAAACCTGTCGTGTGTTACTTCCCCATGTATATCGGATGCGAAGATACATGAACATGTATGTTCAATCTGACCTGGAGCTACATTTAGCCTGTTCCTCTTGTTATATTTAGAGAGGTGTACATGTAGGTGGTTAAGTCCATCAACAGTACAAAGCTTTACATGGACATGATCTTCAAAAGTGTATTTTTGTCCGCAAGGATGCA